GTGCCCCGGCCCCCAGCCCCCAGGCTGAGCCCACTGCCGGGAGAGCGCAGGGGGCAGGGGGCACCCACCCAGCAGCCCCGGGGGGCCGGGTGACCTTGACCCCGCTGCCAGGGAGAGCTGCTCACCTGCCCTGGCGCCCGCAGGCAGGCAGCTGTCGTGGCAGCAAGTGCAGATAAAACCAGGAGAAATATCTGGGACAAAAAAATGTCAACCCCTGCAAACTCGGGGACAGTCTTAAAGAGAGTAACATTTAGAAGCGATCCTACAGAATTAGCCACGTCCGCGTGAAAGAAGAGCCCTGCCCAAGTGCTGGAGGCACCGAGCCACCCACAGAACCCCCGGCGCTGCCGCAGAGCCGCCGCTCTGCGGGTCCCCAGCCAGGGGGTTGCAGGAAGGGGTGCGGGGTCCCACAGCTCCCTGGGGCGCATCTGGGTAACGGCAGGGGCAGGGGTACGGGTGCTGCAGCGCCGGGGAGCACCCACCGCCACAGGCAGAGCCCGACCCCGCTGCCCCGGCCCCGCTGGCAGCCCCCGCTGGGCCGGCTGCCGCTGCCCCTCACCACGGGGCTGGGGGCATCCCTGCCTGCCACCCGCCACCTTTTCTCCATCCCACAGTGTGGCTGTTCTCTGCCTCCCGAGCCCAGAGCCAGCACAGCCGAGCAGAAATTAAGATACTGCTTTTGATCCGCCAGGCAGACCCACCCTATGGTAGCGGTGGTCCCACTCCCCGCGCCGTGACCCGGGCTGGCGGTGACGTTCCCTCCCCAGGGTCGGAACATTTCCAGAGAGGCTGGCGGCATCCACGCGCTCCTCCCGCTGCAGAGCCCCTCGTTGCTGGCCTTTTAAGTTTTGCTCCAGAGCTTGTCACTTCGCTTTATTTCTTCATGAAGAAGCTGGAGGGTCTCTTGTTTTAAGGTACATATACCTGAACTATTTAAGAGAGGTGGGCACCAAGGCAGGCCCAGCCTCCCCCTGTCACCGAAGAGCTGGGATAAAAATGGCAAATCGGTGACACCCCTGGCCGCACACCGCAGCCCCGCCGAGACGTCTCACCCCGGGATCTAACACACCCGTTCCCCAATCGCCCGTTGAGCAGCCGTTTCAGTAACCAAACCTAGGCGCTTCCTCGGGATTTAATGAGCACAAATCCCAACGCTTTTTGACAAGTTTTGCCGGAGAATGGGAACACACGGGAAAGACCTTTTTGTCGGTTATTTTACAACACGATTACAGACACGTCTTGTTGTCTGCAATTCTGGGTTGTCATAGTATACTGCGTAATTTGCATGGAACACTCAAATGATAGAATAATTACCATTTTGGATCCATGTCTCTTCATAGAAAACCACATTAGCCATGAAAAATTAGCTAAGTAATGTTATTTAGTATTTATGAACATGTGTGAGCCCCTATGCCTTTAATAAGTTACACAACGAGCGCTAAAAGCTATTTTTGCCAGTGCTGTTGAGCAGATTTGTCCCAGGGAAGCCAGTACTTCAATCACCAGCCCCGGAGTGCGGTGATTTGGAGCATTAGCCCAGCACACGCAGCACCAGTCGCTGCCTACCGAAAATCAGCCCTAATCACCCGCACCGCGGCGACGCAGGGACCCGGCTGGGGCCCACCAAGGGAGCTTAAATGGAAACGCTGCCCGCCCACCTACAGAACTTGTTCAAGCATCGTTTCTCCTAAATGGAACTACTCTGTATTAACCTCTCCCTACATCCTACGAGCCACTCGGTGGCAAAAGAGGGAGCGGAGGAGAAAAAAACGTGAAGTGCCCAAAACACCCGATGCGTTGCAGAAGTTCTCTCGCCTTAGGGAAGGCCCCACATTTCCTAACGAGATTTGGTTTCATAGAGAATATTGTAGGTGGAGGCGGATGAAAATTAGCAATTATCTGAGCAGACATGAGGCCCACTCAACTAAATGCATTGTTTACATTTATCCAAAATTGTTTGATCATCAGTCACTCAGCAGCCTGGCACGTTCTCCATCTTGCAGAAAATGCTGCGTTGGAAACTCAAGCAATCACAGATCACCTTGCTGAATTAAGTAGGGCTGCCTTGCTAGCGCCATAGTAAACCTAATACATTTGCATCGCATCAGCGTTAAGTTCTAGTAATGCAGAAATCAGATTTTTACAAATCTGTATGCCAGATGTGCTTCTCTGGAAAGAGAACACAAATCACTTGTTTTGTCAAAACGAGCTCTTCTGACCGTAGTTGCACCACATTAAAACACAATAGTCCCGTTATTTACCTAGACACACACTTTGAGATAAAACAAATTTTAAAAACCCAGACCACAAAGCTTCAGTTCCTTTGCAGATCCACCCTCCTGCCTCTGAACCAAAGCAGCCTACAACAGTGTGGTGAAGGCTACTACTTGCTGCTAAAATAGGGGAGCAAAGACAGGAGGAAATCGGGAAAACAGAGAAAGAGCACACCATATAGAAAATGTCAAATATGTCAAAACATTCATGAATACCAACATCTCCCTCTGCACCATAACCAGCTGTAAAGGTTACTTAGGGCTAACGTCTCAGCAAGTGCAGATTATGCAGCAGCGGGTTTACTTATACATAAAAAATCAGCTACAGGTGCATCCGAAGTGCTTTTATCTCAGCAGCCAGCACCGGGATTTCTGCCACTAAAGAAAAGTCAGGAGGGTAAAATCACATAAACCACAAATTTTCTAGTTTTGACTGCCCTAGACGTAAATTCCCGCTGGCTGCTCTCTATGTATATGACACGCGCGATGAGGATAATTAGGTAAAGGACTAAGAAAGCAAGTGTTGCTGATTGCATTCCAAAACTAATAAAGCTCCTGCACGGGTCTCGTGCCTGCAGTAATTCATCTTCCCAGCGCCGCGGTCAGGAAAGGCGGTTGCAGAATACGTCGCAACGCTTTCCCGTCCCTAAGTCACCAATTGTGAATTATATCAGAATTACTGCAGGCGAGCACAGTTTTATGGAACTCGAAGCATAACACACGCAAGGCAGGCATTACGTTATCCCGGCCCGCGGATAAACGGAGCTTAAATTAAATGTCACGAGTGGAATACGATGTACTGTAGAAGCAAACACCTGACCTGGATTCACCCCCGGTTTATTTGTCAAGTTTGTAAACCCCGGCGTGTTTTGGTAAATTATTGCCTTAGTGCAATCTCCTCATCCTGCCACACCGGGAGGAGGAAGGTGTCCGGCTCTGGAGAGGAACAGGGAGACCGTCCACAGCGTGACCATGCGGGCTGCGCTGGAAACAGAAACGTGACTTTTAGATAAATAAAGCGAAGGGGCTCCGTTCTTATGCATGGGTGCATTGACAGAGGAACTCTGTATCAGACAGTGGGATTGTACCAGCAAAAAAAGTTAGGGGCAAATCAGCCCAGCGGCCTGATAATGAACTACAAAAAAAGGAAATCCTGCGGGAACAAAACAGAACGGGTTTTGTCTGCCTGCTCGCACCAGTCGAGCAGAAAAAGCGGCAACAAATTTCATAATTGGCAGGGAGCTAAAACAATTAGGAGAGTTACTAATCTGAAATATTGTACATCGACAGAAATAAAATCTTCCCCGTAATCCTCCCATTGATACCACCATTTAAAAATTATTCCTTCGTCTCCATATTCTACGATGAGCCTCCACTCCAAGTGTTTTTCTAAATGCCTCTGTGGAGCTGCTTTTTCTCTTTCCTCCTTCCTCCCTTCCCTCCTTCCCTCCCTCCTTTCTTCCTCCTCAGGCTCTGCAGCCCGGGGAGCGGGGTTCCTCTCTCGGGGCTCACCTGTGTGCGGGCCGAAGGCTCTTTGGGAGCCCCCCCACCCCTGGAATTGTCCCTCCTGTGGCTCCTGGCCAAGCCCAGCCCAGGGGCCGTGGCCCGAGGGATTCTCCTGGGAGCCATCGGGGAGGTGGGAGCCTTGGCAGCCGCGGGGCCAAGCCAAGGCGGGTGTAAAGCGGCTGCCTGGGGGGATAATTCCGGCTCTGCCCCAGCTCGGGGGGCTCAGCAGGTGGGGAAGGTCCTGGCCAGAGGCGCCGGGCAAGCGTTTGGCCAAGCGGCCCCTTGCTGGGGAGGAACGGAGGGACGGGGGAGACTCCGCGGGAGGGTTAAAGTCGCAGCGACTTTAAAGCCCCGCTCAGGACCGCGCTCAGGCTCAGCCAGGCAGAGCCTAAGTCCCCGCTCCCGGCCCGGCTGCTGCCCCGCCGCAAGAGCGCCGGGGTGATTTCTTCTTCCCGCTCCCTTCGCCTCAATTCCTCACGCAAATAAGCCCCCAAATCCCCCCGCAAACCCGAAGGGCCCGTCCCAG